GAAAGGCGGTCTTGTGGGTGTCCTCCTCGCGGATACGGATCTGGTGCTGTCTCTTATACACATCTAGATGTGTATAAGAGACAGCTCCCCCTCTCGATCCCATGTGCGCACTTTCAAATCCCATCCCGCACACGTGCGCGCAAGCTACTTCCACCCCCACCCCCCGCCACCCTCGACTCTCCTTCCCTCGCTCTCCCTTCCCGACTTGCCCCCGCCCGGCCGCACGTGCACGCTGGCACTTAAGCTGGAGCGGCACATGTGGTAGAAGACCACACAGATGTCCTATGCTAAGTTCAACGAGAACAGAAATCTCGTGAAAAGCAAAAAGGACGAAAACTCATTTGATTTTGATTTCCAGTACGCATACACACAGTCAGAGCTTGGCATATCAGAGCTTGGCATATCGATCCTCTATCGTTCCCGACTTGAATCTAGAAGTATCCGAGGATAGATTGACATTTCGCCGCAGCCATCATCAGCTTCATCATCATCATCATCATCATCATCATCATCATCATCATCATCATCATCATCATAATCATCATCATCATCATCATCATCATCATCGTCATCATCGTCATCGTCATCATCATCATCATCATCATCATCATCATCATTATAGGCATTACCATCGAGGATCTTCATCATCCTCACGCGCGATTGATTTGGTGAGTCGTGACCTCGTCGTTCCACCGGGGAACGATCGAGAAGACCCTTTCGGGGTGACATGAAGACCTTCCTCTACTAGGAGGAAGGACATTATTGTCAATCTATCCCCCTATTACGAATCCCCTCCCTTCCTCCCGCTGATTTCTCTCAAAGATCTCATATTTTTCCTCTTCTTTTATCTCCTCCACATCTCCCCTTCTCTCCTCTTACCCCCCGCCCAATCGGTCGCATCAACCAAAATTCCTAATGCGCATGACGCATATTCTCTCTTTTAGGGTTTGTTTGACAATGCTGTCCATCCTATCGTTCGCAATTTTGATCTAATTCAATAGGATTAATCTTCATTTCCTTCCCTCTTAACGCCATGATCGGAATTAATTCTAGCGATTTTGTTCAAAAGTTACGTGAAATTCTTTATTATACCAAATCCTTTTCTCAATTCAATTTAAATTTTGACTTTATTTCAGAAATTCGTAAAATAAATTTTAAAATTTACTCAATTCAATTCGTTTGATGTTGAAATTCCTTCTATTTTCTATCCCCCGTAAAATTTCGAAATTCTACAATTCTTTATGAGATTCCTTCGAAATTATTTTGAAACTTATTGGAAATTCATCTTAATCTGGTAACACGTCGATAATTTTTCTTAATTTGATCTAGATAATCCTGAAATTTCTCTCAACATACTTTACATGGCTATCACTAATTCATTATGAATTTCATCGTAAATTCTTAATTTAGGAATTAGTTTTTTCCTTTTATTTCAAATAGCCTTTGATATTCTTTAAATTCAGGAAATATGTCAAGGAATTTTTCATTTTACTTCAAAATTTTCCTCTCAAGTCATCTCTACCTCTTCTATCATCTCCCCAAACTTTCGGAAATTTTTACGAATAGTTTTGAAATGCGTTGACTTTTGCCTCAATTTCCGTAGAAATATTGAATTTTTGACCAAGTAATTTTGGAATTTTATTCTGACCTCGTCACTGTCTTATGCATGCTTTTCTCTATACCCCACGCCATCCTTTGAAAATCCGCTCTCATTTCCTTGCCCGAATTGGAAATTTCCTTCTTTCCCCGTCACTCTAACTTTGAGTTTTCTTGATTTAATTTTGGATGTTCGTTAGACTTCATTTCTACTCACCTTCCTCTCACAGTCCCTTACCCTCCTTCTGCGTGCCACCCTGGCTCCCCGTGACACCCAACAGCGCGCACTCCAAAATCGCACCCGAGACACTCGTGCCGCCAATCGACTCGCTCGCTTTAAAGCATCGACCGCGGCCTCAGATCGTCCCTCTTGTCACGGTGCTCCCTCGACATTATCTTCATTTTCTGTCGATTCCATGCAGAGTGCAGAGTTGGTGAGCCCCTCCCGCTCCATCACTGAGCGTGCACGTGTGGGCGATCGGGAGGGAGAGTGTGATCGGGGTGCGCGTGCACGTGTGCGAGATCGGGGAGGGGTCGGAGTCGCAACGGAGAGGTGTGTAATCGGGC